TAAGTCTTGAGGCAATTCCGACAACTGTTCCGAACATATATTCCATTATTCCGTGTCCTCTAAGATGTTGGAGTTTAAGAAACTTTAGCCATTCTTAATAAAACGGATCTATTTGTGGTGATTATCTGAAAACTAAAGAGTTAGCATTGCATATGATATAAATACCAATCAATTGGCTTTCAAAGCAATCAAAATGAGAATTAATTTATTTTCGACAAATGAGTTACAAAAGAAATACATTTTATAAGTAGAAGACTTAAAAGTAGTTTAAAACTTATAAGTAGTTTAAAGATTTGTTAATATTTCAAGATTTATATTGAATATTGAAGTGATAGTGAAGTTTTACTGTTATATAGATTGGATTCAATGAGTTTTCCAGAACTGATAGAATATAAGACACGAATAGAATCGATTCAGTGATACAAAGAGTAGGAGAATAGAGGACGAGTGGAAAATGGTGTGAATTCTTGACAACTGATCCGATATCTCATAGATCTCTATAATCCAAACGCTTAGGTTTGATAGGAAGGATACAATGAAAATCTGGTTCATGTGAACAAACTTTCTTCGCTCTAATCTAATGAGAAATGACTGCAAACTTATTTGCAAAATCATAACCAATCCATCGAAGATGTCTTCTATTTGTCTTGAATTGGATGCAGAGGTAAACATAACTTTTGTCAGACCGTAGATAAAAGTGGACAACAGAGTCGGGTATGCAATGAAATGGTAGTCAAGAAAATTCATTTTATATTTATAATTCAAATATTTCTTCCTCTTTCTTATGATTATTAAACCAATGATTGAAACGAGTGTTGAAATGCTCTAAAAGTAAATGAAAAATGAAATAGTTTTATAAGTTTTATAAAAAAGCATTTAAAATTTGAAAAAAGCTAATGATGAGAAAGTTGTTGTCATAAAAAAGAAATTCTCGAAATAAAATAAAATAATCAAATGCATAATTAAGTGGAAAGTTACTTGAATAGAAATGTGTGTCATTTTAATGAGAGATTTATCTTCAAGAGAAATGACGACAACTGCGACCAAAAGGATCACAAAACCAATTGTAAGTCCTTTGATGGACGAGTGTTTTGCCGATAGAAACGATGCGCTAATGCTTTCGTCATCAAACAGTTTAGCACTAATGAAGTTAATCTTTGACTGATTATTTGTGAACCAAATTGTAATGAGAATAAAGATTGTCAAAAGTTTGTAGTGATGTATAATCGGTATCATTAAGTATGAGATATTTGTCGGCAACAACGGGTTTGAAGTGTTCATATCTATTGAAAATGATGTCAAATTGTTGTCTTCGAGATTAAAATAACATATTTGCGGATATTTTGTATCTAAACTGATGAGCCATAAAGATATTTGTGTGCAGAGGAGATGAGAGACAACTATATTTCTGAGACCTAAGTGTTTGTCTTGAATTGTCTAAATTGGGATCAAGTTGATTTAGTTATAGAATTGTTTGTCTTTAAGTTAGTTTCACCTGATTTAACATGTAATGAGTCAAGAAAAGTGTGAAAACAAAGTTTAGGACAGGCATGAAAACCATCTCAATGTGTATGCATTGTATGATCTCGAGAGCCAAATGAACCAATTCTACGGCGCCCAGGGATGCGGCGCCCATCAGAATAGCCAACTGTTCTGTTATTATCATATCATAAGAGGCATGAAAACCATCTCAATGTGTATGCATTGTATGATCTCGAGAGCCAAATGAACCAATTCTACGGCGCCCAGGGATGCGGCGCCCATCAGAATAGCCAACTGTTCTGTTATTATCATATCATAAGTTATTATCAATTATTATAAAACATTTTCTTAAACATCACACCTGTTCTGATCTCTTTGAGTCCAATCTCATTGCTATAAATGTATTGACATCTCAATAACAGTGTAAATATGATTGATACAAACATTAAATATGCAAAATATATGGTCTTGATCATTTGGTGAGACATCATATATATTACACTCTTTTCATACTCTATTCANTCTTTGAGTCCAATCTCATTGCTATAAATGTATTGACATCTCAATAACAGTGTAAATATGATTGATACAAACATTAAATATGCAAAATATATGGTCTTGATCATTTGGTGAGACATCATATATATTACACTCTTTTCATACTCTATTCAGATTAAAGAATTATAATTTTTAAAATATAAATTTAATTTTAAATTTTAAACTTTAAAACAAACCTTTATATCCTATCAAACAAATAGTGATGGAGATGTGAAATATTAAGTAAATTTGTGACAGAAATATATAGCGAGACTTCCGTGAATTACATAACAGATCCGATTCCCTATATTTGTCTTTCTCTTTGAAATCGTCGAATTGTTTTCTAAAAGTTTCACTTCTTTTAAGTTTAGATTTGTCTTCAAATGGAAGCGAAATAGTCTCCGAAATCATATATCCTGAAGAACCAAACTTTTTGCCGCATATTATGTTATCATTCGTTGGATCCAATCGTTTTGGTTTAGTAAGAGTAGGAGTGGGAGAAGAATCAGGAGTAAGACCATTGAGTAGATCGTCGAGTGGTTGTGATGTCCACTGAGGAGAAAGTTCTGATTCATCCATTGCGTCCATATTTGAAATCTTTGATTTAACTGCACAAGAGTTGAAAGCACCGACCGATTGCTCAATCTTAACGACAGTACATCGCCTAACCTTTTCATCGCTCGAACCCAATTCTGCCATCATTTATGATCATTTCACTCACAGATGATAAGAATTAATTAGAAAATTACAAATTTTCTTTCTGCTTATTAATCCGTTTTTAAAATATACTAAACATTTGATAATTTTGAGAAAATATTTACGTTTTACTGATTTGAAGAGTTGTTTAAGCAATAAGAAAATTTTAGCATTTTGTCATAATATAACTTATGGTTCAATAATTTTGTGTAATTGAAGACATTTAAATGATAATACCTGCGCTGATAACTACCGGTATTTTCTCGGCAAAGTTCAATAATCTATTAATACTTGTCTGTGAGTGATATTCACTGAACATTATTCAGTTTAAAATTGTTTAGACTTAATGCAAATGTTGATCCCATCGTACCATAATACAGTAGATCCAACAGAATACTCGTTACAATAATAACAATATTTATAAAATATAAAAATATTCTCTTGCTTTATTCAATGTAAATAATTGTATAAAATATTTTAATCATTATATTATAAATAAGTAAATATTCATTTATGACTTGAGTAAAAATAGACTAGAAATTAGATTATTTTACATGATTAGTTACAATAATTTCTAATTTATAACAATAAAAATTTCATTAAAAAATTAAATTTTAATCTTAAGTCAAATTTAAAAATCTCAATGAATATAAGCTTTGGACACTTTTTTGTAAGGCTTTCTGTAAAATAAAATCTGACCGAAAATGAATAAATCGATGGAAACCTGTAGGAGACCGCAGATCCAGAACTGGATGGGAGCTCTTCTAACCAGAAAATATGTCGTTTTGAATACATCACCGAATGTCCATAAAAACACCATCAGTTTACTACAATTACCACATTTAGACAGTCAATTAAATAGATTATCAAAACACATTTAAGCAATAATGCAAACCTCATTCCAGCTGTCGATTTATTTTTGTGATTTTTGATGAGTTGTGGGGCGCCTAAGAGGGCTTCGATGAAAACCGATAAAAAGCCAACGGTTTCCACAAAGACTGAGACATCAATCAGTAAATACATTAAGAGTCCACAACTCGTTACAATAATAACAATATTTATAAAATATAAAAATATTCTCTTGCTTTATTCAATGTAAATAATTGTATAAAATATTTTAATCATTATATTATAAATAAGTAAATATTCATTTATGACTTGAATAAAAATAGACTAGAAATTAGATTATTTTACATGATTAGTTAATAATTTCTAATTTATAACAATAAAAATTTCATTAAAAAATTAAATTTTAATCTTAAGTCAAATTTTAAAATCTCAATGAATGTAAGCTTTGGACACTTTTTTGTAAGGCTTTCTGTAAAATAAAATCTGACCGAAAATGAATAAATCGATGGAAACCTGTAGGAGACCACAGATCCAGAACTGGATGGGAGCTCTTCTAATCAGAAAATATGTCGTTTTGAATACATCACCGAATGTCCATAAAAACACCATCAGTTTACTACAATTACGACATTTAGACAGTAAATTAAATACATTATCAACACACATTTAAGCAATAATGCAAACCTCATTCCAGCCGTCGATTTATTTTTGTGATTTTTGATGAGTTGTGGGGCGCCTAAGAGGGCTTCGATGAAAACCGATAAAAAGCCAACGGTTTCCACAAAGACTGAGACATCAATCAGTAAATACATTAAGAGTCCACTGAAAACAGTAAAAGTGGCCAAACATTCAATATAACTGGTAAAATCAGTCCACTGCCAGAAGTAGCGAATATCGAGATCTAAACAATGATTACAAGGATTGCAACTATTATTAA